GCTATCATTCCATCCGCCATTTTCATTCATTGAATTATTGAAAAAAAAATATATATATTGAGTGCTCAGAGGCCATCCAATAATATAAGAAAAATTATTGGCCAGCTGTTGTGATTGTTTCTGTACTGATCATTCTAATTTTTTTATTTTACAATTATAGTGATTGGCCGAAAAAAAAGGTTTTATTATAAATACCAATCACAACATTGATTGTCGAACGTGATGTGATAACACGGTGCATTTACATCTTGTGGCCAAAGATCTAGATTCGGATCCGCACTCTAGCATAATTTTTTATTTATTTTTAATCATCAATCCCATGTGATGGTCTTATGACTCCACTCTCACTTTTTTTGTGACGTCACTAAAGTTTAATAAATTTTTTTGGTTTCCCATGTGATGGTCTGATAAGTGACCTTTCCTCACATATAGCTTGTGTCTATCCGATTAGGGCTGGTTTGGGAATTATAATTGTTTTGTATTTTCACTTTTGACTCAAAACAAAAATGTTTTGAAATAATATTTCTGTTTTAGAATGTGTTTAATATTATTTCAAAACTTATTTGATAATATAAAATTATTATAAGATTTTTGAAAGCAAAAACATGAAAGCATGTTTGGTAACAAGTGTTACAAGTTTGAAATTTTGAATGGCTAATTAAAAAAGTTATTTTAGAATTTTATTTTATTTTATTTTTATTATATATTTTTTTAACAGTGTTTTGCTATAATGCGAAAACAAACAAAAGTATTATTTTTATGCTGATAATTTTGACCTCAATTTTGTAAGCGTTTCAGTATTATTCAAATAACGATAAACGTTACCAAACATACTTCGTGCTTTTGTTTCGCTACAGTACACTAGCAAAAACAAAAAACAAGAAATAAAAACATTAACCAAACGGACTCTTTTAAGTTTAATTTTATGGTTTCCCATGTGATAGAGCTAAAAATATGTTAACTATATTCTAAATTATATATGTGTATCACTTATCCATTTGTATGTTATTATATATGTGTATTTGTATAAAATATTTAAAATATTTCATTTATGAATTTTATTTTTGTAAACATTTGTACATATGCTAAAGATAAAAGTATAATTTCATAAATACGAGAAAATGTGTTTGAATTTTAAGTAATTTTAGTTTTCCTGTGTAAGGAAACACATAATATTAGTAATAATTAAAATATATATATATATATATATTTTAAAAGACATGAGAACTCTATAAAAAAAATCTAAAATAATAAGTTTCTTAGATAAATAAAGTAAAACTAAAAAGAATCCATATAATTTTTAGACTAAGTTTAGAATGCCTCAGGGAAAAAGCCCTAAAAAAAAAAAAAAAAAAAAAAAAAAAGAAAAAGGGCAAAAAACTTGTTGGGACAATGTAGGCAAACACAGACCTTTATTTGGGGGTAATTAGTAAGGGTGGTAATTTATGTTCGTGGATTATAATCGTGCCATGTTAATATAGGAGTATTTTATTAAATAGGTAAATTTAAACTTAACCTATTTAATAATCGTATCAAGAACCCTCAACACTAACTCGACTTGTTTATTAAACGGGTTAATGTGTTAAACCGTTTAATGACCTTAATGAAATAATAAATATTAGGAAAAATTTGTCACAATTAAACCAAATATTCAAAATAATAATAAAAAAAAAATCATAAGGCTCAGTCAAGGTTCAAAACCATAGTAATTGAATTTAAACATGTAACAGTAATTGGGTTTAAACAGGTAACATATTAAATAGGTCATATGAAAATTATAACATATTAGGTTAAACGGGGTTGAACTCCTCAATCCTAACCCGACATGATTAAATAAACGGATTAATCGTATTAACCCGTTTATGACCAAACCCGTTTAAGATCAACCTAAACCCGCTTTATCTTATATCGTGTTGATGGGTCGTATCGTAATTTTGCCACCCTTAGTGATCAATTTATCTTTACTTTGACAAATAAACATAACTAATAGGCGTACATATCTAATTGAACTGTTGGTCACTAGCTTAGAAATTAAAATGTATTGCCAAGTCAATAGGGATAAAACTCGGAATGAATAGTATTACATGTGCAATTTAAGAAATTATAAAATTTTGGTGTAAGAGATTTGAAAAACAAGATTCATTTTATATTAAACCAAATATCCGATCCTGAATTTAATATAACACTTTATTTTGTTGAAGTTTCTTAAACAATAATTTGTAAGAAAAAATTTATATATGAAATGATGCGTGCATGAGAGGTAGATCACCGACAAAGGTCCTCATAAAATATCAAATGAGATCAACGACAAAGTTCACCAACCTGAAAATAAATAATTAAATAAAACCTACCGCATAAAATATGAAAAAAAAATTACAGGAGAAAAAATTAAATTTTAAAATATGTGTTTTTTGAAATTAAAAATTATTACCCATCGGAAACCATTAATCCCATACAATTACAAGTTAACTGGCAAACAAAAACGCTTAATAAAACTTAAAATTCTTTTGTTTGCATGTCATCTAGTGGGACCATTCAATAATGCCGGAGAGTGCGACAATATGATTCGGGATGGCAACGGGGTGGGGTGGGGCGGGGATTTCATTCCCCATCCCCATCCCTGATGCATTTTTCGTTCCCCATTCCCGCCCCTATCCCAGTTTAAAATTTTGCTAGAATTCCCATACCCGTATCTGCACCCGCCTTCGCCCCCGACACCTTATCCCTGTCCCCAAAACCCCCCGGCCTCATAATTTTTTTTATTAAAAAAAAACACATTTTTTCTTATTTTCATATATATAATTAGATAAAAATAGTAAAATTAGATTAATTAATATTTTTCTTGTGAGCATGTGATGAAAAACTTACAGAGCTAAACAACTGATTTCTAAAACCAGCCAACCACTGAGTAAACTGGTTTCATGCTAAATCTGAAACGCGGTTTTGCAATTCACTCATCTTTCCTCATCAAAGCTCTCAATTCATTTTATTCTCCCTCTCCCTCTCTCTCTCTCTCTCTCTCTCTCTATATATATAAATATATATGTATGTATTATAGTGTTTTAATTAATGTCCAATTGATTGCCATAGTTGATGCTTGTGCCTAATATTTTAATCCTGATTTGGGTCTGTCGACTTTTCTTGCTTTTTGTTTTTTTCGCGACAAATAATTATTTATGCTGATCACTACAAACAGACAAAGACTCACAAACAAACATGGTACTACAGAGATGTTCCAACTCCATTCTCTCTATTCCCCTACTTTCTCACACACACAAATACACATGGCCATAGCCATTTTCTGATCTAATCAACAGCCAAATTAAAGTAGTTCTCACTGTCTTATTTGGTTCCAATTCTTATACGTAGTAAAATTGTTCAAATAGATTTAGTTTTAGTTCATGTTTGGATTAGAACAGAACAATTCTTGTGTGCAGTCCTGTGTCATTTTTAGAGGAGATGATTCAAAAACCTCAACTTATATTTTTCCTTTCATTAAATAATTTAATCTATTAATCCCAGAATTAAAGAGGAAAACTGAATTAACGTAGATATTTTGCAAAATATATCAATGTAGTGAATAACTAAAGGTTGCCATTTTTAGAAAATTATTGTACACTCCAAAATTACAATTTCATATGACCATGAGTTCATAATAACGTAACGGTGGGTGGAGAGATAACAACGATAATGGGGGCGAGATTAAAGATACCATTGGCATTCTGATCCCAAACCACCTTCCAACTCGAAGGTGTGAACGGACAAGCCGTTTGACCACTTAATGAAGAAGTGTCAGATTCCGACGACCTTTCCTTCTTCACTGGCTTCTGTTCTACTTCTTCCTTATCGCCTCTGCACCTTTTCCGGTCTTCCGGTCGAAGTCCACGGCGGCAGAAAACACCATGTCATAAGACTTCCGACCTCAAGAGGGAAGCTCGAAATCGCTTTGCTTCCACGATGCGGAGGTCGAGTACAGCTCGAGAAAATTGCCCTCTCGCACACTGAAACCCAAATCAAATTTGCCCCCTCTCTCTAATCTCCCTGAATGAACGAATGGAACTGAGGCAACACCCAGATTTTGGCAAGCCATCAGCTTAGTCTTTAGGGGTATTTAGGAAATTTTGCAATTTCATGTGTTTTTTTTTTTTTTTTTTAGTGTTAATTATATGGGGTATATATGTAATTACACATTCAAATTGGACCGGAAAGTAGGGGGCCAAAGTGTTCACATTTGAAAGTACTGTGAGTGACTTGCTCACTCTTTTTTTTATCAGAGAGTATTTTGCTCATTTGCTTCAAGATGTATTTAGCACTTTTACCAAACAATAAAGTAAAACTAAAACGTATCCATATAATTTGGGATAGTACTCTCACCTCAGAACTTAGCCAGCTTCGGGTCCTTGCAAAATTTCTCATTCATGAACATTGCAGCCAAAGTAAAAGCAAACCAAAGTAAAAGCAAACGTTATTTCTAGAGAGTTAAGAAATTCTATGACGTACAACAAATAAGAGTTGTGATTGAAACACACACGTAAAGGACTATGTGTTTCAATCATAACCCAACTACTATGACGTACAACAATTGGAAGATAAAGAAATGAAAACCAATGTGGACTACTATACCCTTTCACAAAGAAAAACAGAGCATGCATGCATATGAAAAAGCAAAAACAAATTAAGACTAATTAGGTCTAACGGGATATATACATATATATATATATATATATATATATCTCATACCAGCTAATTTGGGGTCATTAATAGCAACACAAAAGTTCTGAAGAGGGCTGGGGTCAGAGGCATGTGCTAGTGAGAATGGGAAATTATTTGCTCTCAAAACGTGTGTGGGGTATGAGAATGGGAAATAATTTGCTCTCAGAACGTGTGTGGGGTATGAGAGTAACAACCTTTTAAAATATACCAGGAGTTTTATTTGATATGTTAAGTAATTTAGTATAAATAGGAAGTGCTTATAGAGACTCCATACATTGAAAAGGGGAGTCACAAGTGTTTAACTATAGTGCTGTTAAGACATGGAATCATCCTTTTGCTTTCTTCATTTTCTTCTCACTTGTGTGGGTAAGCATAAGCATTCCTCTTATCGAGCAGTAGAACATGCATATATCGTATATATACACATATATGTGTGTTTCTGTTTGCATCCTTTTCTTAGTTATCCCTAAAAACCAAATGTGGTATTTGGATGCCACCGAAGTTTCCCAACGCAATGGTTGAACAGAGAGAGGCGGCGTTAACGGTTACCTCCTCTGAGTCCTTTCGATTTTCAGTTTTGAATGGACCAATTAGTGGGCCGTTCCTTAATTCTATCTGATTCTTTTTTTAACTCTGTCATGTTGGCTTCAGCCTGGGCTAAAACTCACTCTATAAACCCTCCTTCCTAGATGGTATAAGCTCTCATCCCTCTTTAGAGAGATTGACGGTTTGAGCTCCGGTGGGAACAAAATTACTTGCTTGAATTTAAAATAATAATAAAACAACACCACCACCACTCGAGTAACACAATTCTCGTAAACAGTCGAGTACTTTGACTCATACTAATTCATTTACATGATTGAACAACTTTGGATTATGGCTTAACATAGTTGATTCATAGTGTACCTTGTAAGCTCTAATTGATTTACGTGATTGAGCATACATGATTGAACAACTTTGGATTATGGCTTAACATAGTTGATTCATAGTGTACCTTGTAAGCTCTAATTGATTTACATGATTGAGCAACTTTGGATAATGGTTTAACATAGTTGATTCATAGTGTACCTTGTAAGCTCTAATTGATTTACGTGATTGAACAACTTTGGATTATGGTTTAACATAGTTGATTCATAGTGTACCTTGTAAGCTCTAATTGATTTACGTGATTGAACAACTTTGGATTATGGTTTAACATAGTTAATTTATACTGTAACTTGTAAGCTCTCCACATCGCAGGTTTTTGAAAACGAGGATTCACTTCAATTTTTGAGTGTGCACCCTAGACATAGAGAGATGGAAGGAGAAACGACAAGAGAAGCAACAAATAGAGAGGAAGAAGAAGAATCACAAGCCCAAGTGGACATATGGAAATATGTATTTGGTTTTGTTGATATGGCTGTGGTGAAGTGTGCCATTGAGCTTGGGATAGCCGATGTCTTGGAAAACCATGGCGGTCCCATGACACTCTCTGAGCTATCTTCCACCCTTCACTGCTCTCCCTCTGCCCTACACCGTATCATGAGGTTCTTGGTGCACCGCAGCATATTCAAAGAAGGTTTCAACAGCAAAGCTGGTACTATTGGTTATGTTCAAACACCTCTCTCGCGCCTTCTCATGAGACATGGCAAAAATAGCATGGCTGCTTTAGTGTTGCTAGAGAGCAGTCCAGCGATGCTTGCACCGTGGCATGGTCTAAGTTCTTGTGTCCTAGCCAACGGATCCTCAGCATTTGAGGCTGCTAATGGTGAAGACTTATGGGGCTATGCAGCTGCAAATCCTGCCCATAGCAAACTCTTTGATGATGCAATGGCTTGTGATGCTAGAGTGGCTGTGCCAGCAATAATTGATGGTTGTCCTGAATTATTAGATGGGCTGGACTCTTTGGTTGATGTAGGTGGGGGTGATGGAACAGCTCTCAGCATTTTGGTCAAGGCCTTTCCTTGGGTTCATGGCATTAACTTTGATCTTCCTCATGTTGTGTCTGCTGCACCTAATTGTGTTGGTGTTAAGCACATTGGAGGTGACATGTTTGAAAGTGTGCCAAAGGCTGATGCTGCTTTCCTCATGGTTAGTATTCTTAAACTCGAAATTTGAATTGCTGTGACGTTACCTGGAGGGAGGGAGAGGTTGTTGGCACTTATATATGTAGACATCTCCTAATTGTATATCGTGACATTTACTTTTGAGTTTCTAGGAAAATTCAGAGTCATGTTCATTTTCTTTTGTTTATTAAACTATGCATCTTTTATATTGTAGTGGGTTCTGCATGATTGGGAAGATGAAGAGTGCATTCATATCTTGAGAAAGTGTAGAGAAGCTATTCCGAATGATAAAGGGAAGGTGATTATCGTAGAAGCCGTGATTGAAGAAGATGAAGGAGATAAGCTCAAGTATGTGAGATTGATGCTGGACATGGTGATGATGGCTCATACAAACAAGGGGAAAGAGAGGAGTCTCAAGGAATGGGCATATGTACTAGGAGAAGCAGGGTTCAGTCGACACAATGTGAAACGCATTGAAGCTGTTCAGTCCATTATTGAGGCTTATCCTTGATTTATATAGTTCTTAATTGCTTTATGTTTGGCCAACAATTTGATGCATGGATAGTGCAGCTTTACAATTACAGCACTCTCTCTGTTTGTATAAAACCTAATAAAACTGTCCTACTTCAGTTTGGTTTTAGTTATTTGACATTTGTTTTAAGACTACATTGAGAGTTAGGGGATCATTGTTTAGTAAGATTATCAAGGGTGAGAAATGAAGTTGCAAAATGAGGTTTCCATT